CCTCACAATGTGCTATGCCAGGTCCAGAAATCACCTTCAAGCACAGTCATAAAAAACAACAGAGACTTTCTTCTTAGGAGCCAGGAAATCTTTCTCCAACACCCACAGCAGGCTGCCCCTCATCTCTTATTGGCTAGGACAGACTCTGTCAATAGCCAGAAAGAGATGTTGAATTACCGTGGTGGTCTAGCCCCACCATCTGAGGTGGGATTAACGTTGAGGAGTCAAACATATTGACCCGTAGGTAACCCTAGTGTCAATAGTTAGTGTATATGGGAGGCATGTCACTCAACATTGATAACTGAATATATAACACAAGAATGACAACACTATAAAATAAAGATGGAGGTAGAAGAAGGAAGGAAGGAAGGAAGGCTACAGACAGGTGGATGGATGAACGCACAGACAAGAGATTAAGTCTCACTACTAAAAACAGTACAAAAAGTCTAAGAAATTCATCTACCAAAAAATTGAGAGGAAAATATATGGTATAAATTTTAGACAATTCTTTCTTTTAATAATAATGTATTTTAGCAACTAGACCAAGGGAGATGACTATTATGCAAGTTTAGCAGTTTAACAGCATAGGTCTATTGTAGCAAGGGTCCAAAACATCAATTACCTGGAAAAATCAAATGAAAAGACCCCTTGGGTGCCGTGGCAGCAGGGTCTATGTACTCTTCCTGCAAGTGTCTGCTCACCTCCCTCTAGTCTGTGCCTTCCTCCTCTTCCTCCTCCTCAGGGAGGCTTTGCTTGGCTTTCCTCCATGGCACTTATCACAGTCCAACACCATCTATACTTTCCTTAATTATCTCATTTATTGTCTGTTTCCTCAATCACCAGGCTGTAAGCTACATGAGAGCAGAGACTGTAAGCCACAAGTTTTCTTCACTTGAATAACGGCCCACACACAGTAACACTCAATCACCATTTGTGAAATGAATGAATCCTCCCCCTATTTACCAGATCAGCAACATCTGATGCTTGGCCCACACCCACCTCTCCTCTTCTCTCACGCTAGATTTTCTCCTAGGCAATCTCACCACCACCCACAGCTGTAATTTGGAGTCTCTAGACTCAAATTTGTATCTCTTGCCCAAATGTACCACTCCTTTGAGTTCCTGATTGCACCTCTAGCTAGCTATTAACTCAGTGTCTACATTTGGAAATCTCAAGCAATCTCAAAAGTCAACATCTCCCAAGTTCAACATGGAATAAAAAAACTGCAATGCGTGCCTTAACAAGCCTTCCAGGCGATTCTGATGCACAAACTTTGATAACCACTGGCCTAGGCTAGAGCACTGGTCTCTAAACAGAGAATACGAGCCTTAAATTATCTTAGACCTGAAATGACTCCCTCCGTCCACCCTATCCCAACCCCTCACCCAGCATGAGCAGGGTTTTATCCCATTCCCACCACACACGAACTCACAATACACACACACTGTGGGCACTCCCAGACTTAGTATCTTGCTATACATTTTCTTTATCCACAATACTTAGAATATGCTGTAAATGTGCTTACTCTATTTATTCTATTTCTCCCTATAAGAATAGGGACCAAAACTAGAACACTAGCTTCCAAGATGCCATAAGGATTTAGTTACTTTGTCCTAAAAATAAAAACTTCAAATCCAAGCTCCCAAATTTAAAGAAAAACTCAATCTAAATATTCCTATGAAAATAAAAACACACATGCACTGCTACTTTCCTATGGGGCAAGATCAAAAACAAATGATGGAAAACAAGAAAGCTCCCAAATAAAAACCAAGCATTCAGAAGAACAAGCTGGCAATCCTAAAGAAAAAGGATCTATTTCTAGATGAAGTTTTTAAGAGGGTGTGTGTACCTGGGACTGTTTTACTCTGTCAAACACTTAATATATCCAGAGAGAGAGAGAATCCTTTTATGAAGTCTATTCTTTAACTTCAAAGAACTGCCAGGGACGGCATGGTGTCCAGATTCCCTCAATCTCTGGAGCATGTTTGCTAGTTCAACCCAGCCAGCCCTTACTATGCTACTCCACTCTCCCTACCCTACTAAACCCTAACCCGTGGCTCCAGTAATTTTAAGGCCACAGCTCTAAAGTTTTAACCCTGTTTGAGTAATTAATTCCTTTTTCTACCAACTGTCATTTAGACCATATCCTATTCTGCTATATTTTCAAGTTGTTTGGTTCATCTGTTCTCATTTGCAGGGGTCTCTAACTAGCCAAATCTGGACTATAAACATTTTATTTGGCTGGTTCTATCTCCTCAGTGGAATTTTCCCACATAAGGATGTAAATGCAAGTGGCCTTATTTGGGAGGTGATCCCAGGATGCACCAGTAGGAAAGTGGGGAAGTGAGACAAGAAAGAAGTAAACACAAGATGTGCTATTGAAGATGTTACCACTGTGGTAACAGAGACTCAGTGCCCTGGGGACCCTGGAGAACAGAGGGGGGCCCCACCTAGAGGTGAAGCAGTCGGGGTAGTTGTCCACTATCTACTATCAGCTGCTGGTTGAGGGTTGCTGGGGGCAGGTGGGGTAGATGGGTTGGCTTCCACTCCAGTACTGGGGCTAAGAAAGCTCTCAGGCTTCCACACGGAAGACGTAGGGAGGGATACCCAGGAATGGTGAGTGTTGAAGTAATAAAAGCAGCGAGCACTATCTGGTCTCATCCCCACAAAAGAAGGACCTGTCAGTGTGATGCTCCCTCCTTGAATCTGTACCCATCTCTCCCTCCCTCTCAGGGTCAGAACAGCAAGAGCCCAGTCCTTTCATCCCGTTTTCTTCCTTTCTGAAGTGGGCTACTCTCTCACAAAGACAGTATGGGAGGCAGGCCCACCTGGGCACACACAGCCTCCCTCATGCTGTGGTAGGGAGGCCAAGACTCAGGTCTGCACCTCAAAGTGTCCATAGAAAATGCTGAGTTTATGGTCTGAATAGGTAAACATGTTCTCCAACAAAAGAGGCCCAGCTGAAGTCCTCACTAACTAGTCTTTCACCAAAGTCCCTTATCTGTCTACTACCTACCTTTCTATCTAAATGTGGTCTCACAAAACGAAGAGGTGGTATTCTGAGATTCGGGTATAAACAGGCTTCTAGCTAAAAACAATCACAGCACCTTAATACCACCCAAATGGCAAATTCATTTGTTGCTAACATGTACAGAGATTTATTATCGACCAATGGCTGCAAATAAGGTCAAAGACAAGGGAAATTCAAAAACAAATGTAAAAAGAGTAGTAATTCACAATACAGCACAGAACATTAGCTATGCTGTCTACACTTTTTATGGTGTACATGAACAACATCAATCCTAGGTGCCAAAAATAAAATGTGTTTCTAAACACAACAGATGTCTTTTATAACCTAGGAGTGCCTGTCATCCTTCCTTTTGGAAAGGGAAGACCACACTGATTCCTTCAATTATCAACTAAGCACCTATCAAATGCCTGACAATATACTAAATGCTAAGGGTATTTGTCAACCCAATGACTTTTCTTTGCAAGGAAAGAAAACATAATGGGAATTTACTGCCTCCCACAATTCTAACAGTCCCAGGGCAGTCACGCTTCAGCAGGTCCTCCCCAGCTTCCTTCTGCTTACATGGGGGTCACCAACCCACCCTCAGAGAGTCGGCTTCAGCCCAAGCCTGGAGCAGGATGGCTTCTGTACCAGAGGTACAACCATCTCTTCCAGTGACAGGAAATTACTTTCCCCAAAGCCCCAAGCACATCTCAAGTCAATCCAATTGAGTCAAATGCCGATTCCCAAACCAGTGACTATGGACTATGTATGAAGGACTGTCCTTAGCCTAGTCTGACCCGGAGCTGAGGGCGCAGCCAGCAGCCTTCTCTGAAGCACATGAACTATGTGCAACAAAACAGGAATATTTGAATGGAACCAGCAAAAAAAAAAAAATCTGAGAATTAAATACTACTGTGCCAAGAATGCTTTGAAATATTTGTGTGTGTGTGTTTCTGTATATATAGCATATGTGTTTATATACACATGTAAATATGAATGGATGTGCTTTACATGTACATGTGTGTATGTAAGTACGTATATAACCTAACTTAAAGACATCTTATCTAAATGAAAAGAACAGAACTCGAGATGGTATATGCTTACACATTAAATAACACATCAGTAACCTAATCAATAAAGCCTTCTAGGAGCTCGATTGCAGGAGAAGCTCCAAGGTGAAATGGTCAAGGAGCAATCATGTAGAGAAGCAGAGAAAGTGAAGCAAAGAGAAGTAAGAAAAATGAGGACATTTTCTGGCTATCTTATGTATTCTGAAATTTTATCCCAAATGCTTGAGTACTAGGGGAACTTAAAACATTAAATATCCACTGCAAATTAAATATCCATTGTCTGAAATTCACCAAAGCAAAAAAAAAAACGGGTGCTACTTGTAGCCCCTCAGATCATAAGCAAAACTAGACCTAACTGCTAAGCAAATATATATATATATATATCTCACATTCAAAGATGTCAGAATAAAATATCAAATTTTATTCAAAAGTTTTTTCCCCTTGACATGTTTTTTTATAAATTCCACTTTGCTTTCTTATAAGGCAGACACATTTCATGATACAGGAAGTCCAAAACAGCATCTATGCTTTAAGCCAGTGGTCAGCAAAGCATGGGCCATGATTTATTTTGTAAATAAAGTTTTATTGGAAGACTCCATATCAATTCATTTAGTATGCCTCAGAACGGTCTTATGTAATACTTATTGACTTAGTATCAATGGCTGCTTTCACACTTCAGAGTTGAGTCACTGTGACCAGCTGTGGCCCATATGGTCCACAAAACCTAAATTACTATCTGGCCCTATACCGAATTTAGGTAATTACTTGATTTTTAATTCAATTCTTGAAATTTTTCATAATAAAATGTCAGAAAAACTCCATTTTAGTTTTGAATAACTGGGAGTTTAGTAACAGGTTTACAATGAAAATACATTAAATAAAATAATAATAAGAGATGATAACGAAAGAATACTCACAATCTTTCAAGGAGACTTAAGCCAGAAAATGAGCCATTCTTCAGCTCGGATATCTTATTGTTACTCAGAATCCTAAAAATGATGGGAAAAAAATATAAGTTGCCTAATATACACCATCAATATCAAAGTAATTCAGCTCATTATGTTTAAACCTATGAGTAATTCTAAGACATCACTTATTACCCAGAAGTTGTGAGATGGTTGACAAAAAGGGAGCATCTTCCCCTTTCTTTTTGAAACCAACTACTTGAAATAGCTCATCCATGCATCTTATCAGATTGTAAATCGTTTCTATCACACTTAACCAAAAACTTTAAAATAAAAAGGGAGAAAAGTCGACAGGTAATAGCCCTAAGTTCAACATAACCATAAAGAGTGCTTTGTACATTTATATAATTAATCAACTTATGTAAGTTGAATACTTATTTTAAAACTGGAAACAATCTAAAAATGCATTAACATAGGATCTATAAAATACTGACATAAAGAAATAAAGTATCTTCTAGATATCATTTCGATATTGAATATTGTTTGTAATTTAACTATGTGTATGAAAATAAGCTTTTCACATGCACTCACAGACAGACACAAGTAGCTGAATCATAATATTGTATCTCACATAATAGGAAAATGTTTATTTAAAAATGAACTGGAAACAGAAGTCGATGAAAAGAAGTCATAACCGAGACTACCTCAACAGCAGGACTTGCCTGAGAAGACACAATATATACATAATCTTGCTTCCTCCCTAAGCTTTGTATAACTTTATGAAGCTTTTGCAGCCTGAATATCAATGAAAAGTTTCCATGAATAAGGTGAAAATGCTAAAGTTATGCTAAAGTGGTGATATCAAAGTAAAGTAAATGAGAAAACCAAAGCACAGAAGAGTTAAATAAATGGCCCAAGATTACACTAGCAAATTGCAGAGCTGGATTCTGACCCCGTGCAGTCTCTGCTCCAAATCCCATGTTCTTCAACATACACCAAAGTTGGTCAAGAAGCATCTATGGCATTTTGGGCACAAAATTCTCCATCACACACAGTACTGCATAACTTTCAGGGCACCCTTCATGATGGGTGCAGTGCGAGTTGGTGCTTCTTGAAACAGAGCAACACAGCAATTCTGTGTAAAACGTAAGTTCACTGAGCACACCCTTCAGTCATAAGATTTTAGGTATTCATTTTCACTTTGTCTCAAAAAAAAAACTTGGATTATTTGTATTAAAACAAAAATAGCCATTTGACATTTGATTTTCTTTTGATATAGGTGGAATAAAAAAAAAATCCCTGTTCATATAGATTAACATGTCAGAGCCTTTTTTGTAGGACTAGGAACTCCAAAAGTCAAACACACCTGGGTTTGAACCCCAGATGTATGTATTTTATGCTATGCTGATCTTCAGCAAGTCATGCCACCTCTCTATAACAGAGTTCTCTCATTCATAAAATGGGAAGAACAATATCTACCTCATAAACACAAGAAGGAAATTAGAAAAAGCGTGACACATTCAATGAGTATCCATTACATTTCAGATTCTGTTTCCTTGGTTCTAAGACACACATTGTCTCTCATTTCAGTGCTTCTGAAGTCAAGATGTTTCTTGTAAAGTATATTATTGAGTAGTATTCTGTCCCTCCCCAAAGCTGTTACAAAGCACGAATAAGGCTTCAATCATGGGAACCCAGAAAACATGGTGATCAAAAACATTCCAACTAAAATACAATACCATTTTCTCTAATCAAAACTGCAAAGGTTTTTAAAAGAAAGGTAGCGTAGGTGAAAGCAAAATGAGACTCTCACATGATCACAAACGTCACTTTGGAGCAAAATTTCAAGCAGCCTAGGAGAGCACCCCAAGAGCCTGCAACCTTTGCTATCCTAAAAAACAGGCACCAATCTTTAAACAGCACTCACCAAATCCAACAAAAAGCATATTCTACTATTTATGTCAGCATGATTTATAACAAAAATTTGAAACTACCAAAGAGATCGAGGCCAGTTGTAAGACAAAGAGTTAAACAAATTATGGTACAGCCAAACGACAAAGTTTTGTGCATTCAATAAAAATTATTCTTTCCAAGAAAACTTGACGGAGAAGAAAATATTTCTAATCAGTTAAAAAGCAAACAAGAAAATTTATGTTACTATTAATTGAAAAGAATCTATGCACAGAAAAAAAAAAGATTGGGAAGAAAATACATGAAAATGATCACACTATTTTAGTGGTGAGGTTTTTATTAATTTCTCTTTTGTTCTATATAATCTTGCAGTATCTTTTGAAATATCTAGAATAAGATCCTTATTTTTTTATTTTTCCTCCTGGTGATAAACATAAGAATCTTAATAACTAAGTATAGCTTGAAATTGAGTTAATTTTGGCTGTAATTATATTTTAGAAATGAAAAGAAGAAATAATTTATTCGTTGAGATTAAAGAGTCCTTTATTTATATTCAAAACGTGTTTATATAGAGACTGATGTCAGCAACATTATAGGACAAAAAGTAGTACAAAGGATAATGGTGCTGACATTCAGAGCTCAGGGTTTTACCAAGACCCCACCAGGAATAACTGATTCAGTTTGTGACAGTCACTCCACTTTTCTAGAAAGACTTCAATTTCATCTTTAAGATGGAAAAAAAAAAAAAAATACACTAGAATGATTACCAAGATCCCTTCCAGCTAGTTTTCATTTTCTATAATTATTCACGTCTTAATGAGCAAAGCTGCCGAACTTTGCAGTGACTGAGAATTTATAACCAATAAACCCAAAAATAAGCAAACAAAAGAAAACTACACAAACTATCAAGCTCAGTGACATTAGTGTCCTGTTTCTGAGTGAAGAATGAAACCCAAATATCAAAGTAGCTTGTAAAACACTGCCAGGGTGGTGACTAAAATTACGCTCACTGCAATTCAGTAATGCTTCAGCAAAAGGACTGTCATTTGCTCAGTCATAAAAGCTTTAGTACGATAAATGATAGATTTTATTGAGGAAAGTAAAAAGGAAGACATTTCATCACACTTAAAAAGTTATAACTGTAACCTTAAAAATATAGTTTACAACCTCAAGTTAATATATTCAGTCTACACGTTACTTGATGTGTTTAAGGATTTTGTGCAAGAAAACAGGATCAGTACGAATAAATCTACTCTGCAGACAGCTTTTATACTCAATTTTGAAATGGAGGACTGTGGAACTAGCAAATGCATAATATCATGTATCATTATAAACCTAAAACCCATCCATAATCAATATTTTTGCTGACATCTTTGAAATTTCAAACTTTCTAGGAGGTAACTAAATAAAAAACATAAAACTTGACCAAAGTTATAAAGCTTATATATGCCCATTTCTGTTCTGTACTAATGATGTTAACACCGCATGATCTATACACAATACCTAGGAATGCTACTCCGGGCTCGTGCCTCTTGAATTTCAACACAGTAAAGAAGAGTTTGATGTCCACTGCTATCACTTAACACGGCACCAAATTAGTTTAGTATATCATTTATGCTGGGATGTGAAAAAAGAAGTAAGACTTCACGAAGACGTGTTTTTTAAAAAATCAAAAGTTTATGGAGCAAAAGAAATAAAAATTAAGTCGTATTAGAAGTTTTCAGTTGTTTGCTATTGCAAGTCCCAGAATAGAATGAATCATTGAAAGCTGTTAACAGCACTCACATCCTGTATGGCAGAAAGCACAAGATAATTTTCCTTTCGAAAGGAATTTTAAAATATATTTCAAGAGCATTAAATATTCCAATCAAATGTTAGGAATATAATTCTTGGCATGAACTGTTACAAGGAAAAATCAGATAAACATCAAGTAGGATTACTGTAGTGGCTTGAATGCCTGTAGTGGGTCGAAAGATATGTCCACCCGGAACCTGTGAATTTGACCAGAATGTGAACCTGTGAATGTGACCTTATTTAGAAAAGGAGTGTTTGCAGATGTAATTAAGTTAAGGATAAGGAAAGAGAAGGAGAGAAGACACACAGAGGAGAAGGCCAGATGAAAAGGACAGAGATGAGCCTCAGAAAGAGATAAAAGGGACAATGGAAGGAAGGCAGATTTATAAGCCGTAATAGCTAAGGATTTTCCACAACTAAGGAAAGGAGCAAATAGGACTTTTTAAAACATAGCACATCTTTTTAATTCTATTCGATTTTTTAAAATCCATAAGCAATGCTCAAAGATAGACAACAAATATTTAAAAATCCTATCAAAGGCAAAGGACAAATTTTCCAAATACATAAAGAGCTCTTAAGAAACAGTTAAGAAAATAAAATCCCCAACAGAAAAACTGGCAAACACCCTGAACAGACAGTTCAACGAAAGTAAACACCAATAGACCACAATCATATGAAGGGATGTACAACCTCGGCCATGAGAGAAATATCAAGTAAAAGTACAAGAAGATACCATAAATCAATTACTAGAGTGGGGAACACATGTGATAATACATTTTATATTCCGAGGGAAACAGAAGCTCCTATTTTGCAACAAATCAGTATAATCACCAGGAAGGCAAAAGTACAAATGCATATATAATATTTGATCCATTAGTTCCTCTTCTGAAAATTTATCCTTAAGATATACTTGCATTTGTACGAAATATATTACATGTTACGTTATATAATTACATATTTATATAACAAAATTATTCATGGCATTATTGTTTGTAAAAGCTAATTGCTGGATATTTAGGTTGGTCCCAGTAAAAGTGGATTTTATGGGATTTTTTTGGGGGGGAGTCTATCTACAAAATGGGATACCATGAAGATGGAAGGTGGCAGGATACAGGGGGAGGAAGCACGTTAGGTATTCACACAGAACAATCAAGGCATGTACTTACACATTAAAAGTTTCCACTCCTTGATAGTTCTGATCTGCTCAAGTAACACAAATTGTACTAATACAAATTGAAACTATGTTAGATTTTTGTCTATAATAATGTGTGTGTGTGTGTGTGTGTGTGTGTGTGTGTGTGTGTGTGGTGTGTGTGTTGCTACAACAATATCCATCAAGTACAAGAAAAGTAGACAAGAAAGGTAGAAAACTTGGCTAG